ACGCTGATTAGAAGGTACTCGTGCTGTGTCTTGCTAACTGCCTCCAGCTCGTTCTTCCCCAGCTCATCCACCCATCCCAAACCGCCTTCATCAAACATAGGAAAATTGGAGATACAATCAACGATACCCTTGACATCATGGACTATGCAGCATTCTCATCAAACCCTCTTCTCGCTCTTAAGGTAGACTTTCGAAAGGCCTACGACCTGGTCGACCGCCCCTTTCTCCTCCACGCCTTAGCGGTCCTAGGGATTCCAGCTCCCTTCATACATTGGGTGCGACTAATGCACTCCGACACGACCACACGAATCTCCATCAACAACATGCTCGGCCCCACCTTCCCTGTCCGCACGGGCGTCCGACAGGGTTGTCCTTTGGCACCTCTTCTTTTCGTCTGTGTCATAGAGATCTTCCACCGATACATGTCCCTCTTCCTACCTGGCTTCACTCTGTCTCCCGTCCAGCGCCGACACATGGCATGTTACGCGGACGATGTCACTCTCTTCCTCACCTCAGACACAGAACTCGGCCTCGCAGTGACACTCCTCGGCGTCTTCGGCTCCGTGTCTGGGGAGGTACCCAATTGGAACAAATGCTACATTATTCCCTTCAATATCAACCCCACTAACCTCGCGCATGCCGGGCCTATCCCCGTCCGAGCCCCCGGCGAAGCCGAACGCATCCTTGGAATTTATGTTGAACGACTACACCCTGGATCCACCACCTGGACTAAGGCCCTCGCCCGCATACAAAACACCGCCAAATTCCTGGCCGCCTTACATGCCACTGTCACGTGCCGCAAATCTCTGTCATCGATCTTTCTGAACTCCGTCATCTCCTATCCCGGCCGCTTCCAACCTGCACCACCGATCACCATCAAACGAATTGACATATCAATTATGAACTTCCTCTCGTCCTCAAAACATAAACAAGACGGTCTCGCACAACGCTTCCTCCCCAATGGTCTCCTTTACAACTCATCCCAAGACGGTGGGGTTGGTGCAATCGCCCCATCTACCCAAATCAAAGCCCTCGCCATCCAGCGTGCACTACGCAGATTTGGACCCACTCCGTCCGAGGAAGTCACACGGACCCTGACCCCGTTCCCCTTCGGGCTACATGGTCCGCTCTCCCATAAGGCCATCCTAGAACGAGACTATCTTCCCTCCTTCATCCCCTCGCGGGCACTGGATGAACTTAAAACCCTCCTCGCTCTTCCCCTAGTTATCCATGGCCCACCCCTACGCATGCAATGCATCCTTACCGAACCTCTCTCCTTCAACCGGTTGCTCCTCAAACCCGACGAGCGACCTTTCGGCACCCGCCAACACGAGCGATTCCTGCTTACACGACAACTCCGCATTGGACACATTGTCCGAATCTCCAACTTCGACGTCAGCCCTATCTCTGCTCAGGAATTCTGCTCCCAACTCCCTGAGGAATTCCACGACGACGCCACACGCCTCCTCCCAGATCTCATCAAGGCTTTCAAACCTCCCTGGTGGGCCGGCCTCCGATCCCCTCACTCCTCTGCCTCCCCGGGAGATTGGTTCATGCTCTCGGATGATCACTACTCCATATCTCACCTCGCTATCCAGGTCGTCGCTTTCATCACCCCCTCTACCGTCTCGGCTACTGTCCACCCCGTCTCGCCCAACCATCGCATCGGCTGTACCCCAATCAATACTGGAATATTCCGTTTACAGGACCTCATTGAGGTGTATGTCAGGGAATGGTGGCTCGCAGGGCCACTTCATACAGGGACAGGGTTAGGAGCTAGGGTAGAACTTCTACAGGACGGCATCCCCAGCCTCGCCGACATCCGCCGTCTCCTTTACTCCACACAGCCACTTACTCACCACAGTCGATGGACCTGAGACTGCACCCTTCCGCCTCCCCCTCTCCCTGGCCTCAAGGACCCCTTTCTCAAAGACCAGCCGAGCCGCCAACGGGATATCCTTTTCAGACTCTACACACTAACTCTCCCTTCTGGATCACGCTTCCAATATTTTGACGACCGAGGGGTTTGCCCCCGGTGTCCCGCTGCTGTTGTAGAGACGCTGCCGCATATTTTCTTTGAATGCGCCTCCGCCGGAAATGTCATCTCTGCTCTGCGCACAGTCGCTGACCGTCACCTCGGACACACCTCCCCCGCCGAACACATCTTCTTCCCACTACAGTCACATGTTGGACAGTCCCCCCCATGGAGCTTACTAGTAGGAGCAGCAGCCAAGACGCTGTGGACCACAGGTACCGCAATTCCTCCTCCTCGAGCTTCGAGATACTGCAGCTCATCTTAGCCCAGTTCCTAATCGCCTTCAAAATATGAAGTTTTTTTAAAGTGTGTAACACTTTCTAAAAATGTATATTTCGAAAGCGAAGCTGCTTGTAATGCAGCAATGGCAACGGCGAAGTGCTAGACGCTCTTCGCCAACTATATAGCAGGGGTGGAGGCCATTTGGCCTCCACCCACGTCTTCGTTTGAAATTTCAAATGTCTTATTTCCCTCCCACCCACCCTAGCAAAAATTGCATGTTGTAACTTGTAATGTAGGTACCATATATAAGCAGGACGAGAATGTTGTAATGCCCATTTGAAACGAAGCTCGTTGCCATTGCAAACACAAGAAAGCAAGCTTTCTAAATCTATATGTGGAGAGGCAAACGTCAATCAGCCAAGAAGCGTCAACGTATATCACCCAGCATCAAGCGAGCACAGAAACTCCGATTCCTCCTCTTCGACAGGACCGGCACACCCTCTATCCACCCCGACCTAAGGTTCTCCTGGCTCTTGGGAAATCCGTTCCGACCACCATAGTCACCCATCGCATAGAGCGTCTCCCAAGGCAGCTGGCGGTTGTCCGCGAGGACAAGGAATAACGTGTGTTCCACGTGCTCCGTTGTGGATGCTGACCACCTCGGCCATGTTTCTAGACTGCTCTATGGATTACTCTTTGTACATTGATTACGATCAATATATAACCTTAACCTTAACACATATGCACGTCCTATCCTATGCACTACACACCCACAGAACCAACCAGTTAGCCTCGGAACCAACCAGTTAGCGGCCAGAAGCAGCCAAGGTGAAGAGCAGAAGCAGCCAAGGTGAGCCAAGCAGAAGCAGCTAAGGTGAGCCAAGCAGAAGCAGCCAAGGTGAGCCAACTAGAACCAGGGTGAGCCAATCACTACTTCTTCACTTTCACTTTCACTTGCTTGGCCTTCCCGCAGAGTGCTGGATGAGCGTTGTTACTATGATGAATCGAATAGTAAGAGCCAGCGTCCAATGACCGCTTTATACCCGTTTTGAAAAGACTCAGAGCCGCTGGCCCATATTTGGTAGAGGCCTTGAAGCTGTAGCGCTTGCGCTTGCTCTTGGGACTGGTGATGTTTTGCCACTGCGATGACCAAGGTGGAGGTTCAGCATAGCGGGAAGTGCCAGTGGTGTCGGCAGGAGTCGATCCATCAGATTTGAGGTTCACGATTTTGACAGAAGAGTAATTATAGTAGTCAGTTTCCGAGTACCTGACAACAGGACATGGAAGGAGATGGTCGTGAGTAGCACACTGAAGAATGCAAAAACGGGTAGATAAGAAGCAGCAGAAAAGAATGCACGGACTCACTTCAAGACCTTAAGGACCAATTTTCCCCATGCTTTTTTGTCGCCAACCACTTTCCCCTTGATTTTAGTAGGACGTAGCTTCCACACGTACTTGACTGGAAACGTGAACGGGATATGGCATGGGGAGGGACGTGGAAGGACAACAGCTGAGGAGATGGTACTGCTACAACCAAAAGCACAGCATGAGACGCTTAGCATAAGACGCCTTGACGGCCTGAAACCTCTTGAGAGACTTGAGACCCCCCGAGGGAACTTGAGATCACCCTGAAAAACTCTTTGACTTTCAGACTTGATCCCCTGAAGGATGGGGCAAAAGGAAGAAACATGACATGCAACGCAGCAATGCAACACATCCGGTAGTACAATAATCTTGAGGAAAACAGGAGTTTGAAACTTCTTGGATGAACTCTAGAAGAGGGTGGCATGGCAGGGCACCTGCGCCGCCTGCAGCAGCAACAGACACATCACACTTATTAGCATCGAGGCGCAGCTTTGAACTAGGGCTGCAAACAGTACTTACTCACAACCTGCGGCTTTTTCGCCAAGGGCATGCTGCCTCCAGGAGCGGCAGACGTCGCCGCTGAAACGGTGCCGTCACGAAGGAATGGAGGGAAGGTTGATGCCGTCACGGTGACACTGAAGAACGCCGAACCTGCAGGGCGAAGGCAGCAGCGCACAAAGGGGCATGGCGCGGGCCGTTGACATGCAATCGGATGCACGGTAGCCGAGCGGAGTGGCATTGGTCGCCGCTCAGTCATCAGCCAAGGTAGTATTTTAAAAAGTGCAGGTAGGTGGTACTGCTAGAACTTGGCGACACTGGCTCCATGGTACTAGTACTAGAGTACTAGACCTTGAACTTGTACTGGTTGTACTAGTCCGACGTCACAAAGAAATTGGCGCCCTTCTGGAGCCACAACCGTAGGTATGCCAGGGTGTGTTGGGGGGGGCATCTCAATTGTATGCCACGGCAGTCCCAAATCAATGTCGAAGCATTGGCCGCACTCTCCCACGCATCGCGTGTATTGCAGTTGAGGAAACTCCCCGCTTTCCAGGTAGTCAAGGATTCATGTACTCGGGCTTTTTGATAACAGCTCTAATATTATTACATCTTGTAGTACTCAGAGAGCACAGGCATTAGAACGCCATAAACGCAAATTATAGTCATATATGCCAGAACGATTCTACTATACTAACTGGCACGGCATAGTAAGAAGAACGGCTCTAAAAGAAAAAAATGTGCCTACTCACAAGCCTCAGCACACGAGAGAGAGTTTAGAGCAGCACCAAAGCTCGATCCAGCCTGCAACGCCGGTGAGCTGCATGTGTCTGAGTCGGCCGCTGCATTGGTGATGGGCAGCGCACTCCAGTGTGATCCCCTTCTACATCACTTCCTGATTCACCAAATAGGCCCACTTGTTCAGGAACCACACGTCCTTCTGCTCGAATGAAGGGACGCAGTGCACGGCGCGCTTGAGCCGGTCGATGGGGACGACAGCCAGCCCGCGATACAGCGATGGCGGGCCAAGCACCTCGTAGCCCGTGCACTCATCAAGCCCCTGTTGGCTCAGCCGCTGCAGCACAGCCACCTCTGCAGGCTCGTAGCTGCTGTCGTCCAGCGGCCTCTCTGCATCCAGCAGCAGGATCAGGCGGCCGTACACGGTACGGCCAGTAGAGGACAGGTACTCCACGCAGGAGAAGGCCGTGTGGCCATGCAGAGATGCAGCGGCCCGTGCGTAGTGGGGCCGGATGTGCCCATAGTCAGTGGGGAAGGCCGGCAGCGCCACCGCCGTGTGCGCCTGTGGGATTCACGGGTTCAGCGGCAAGCAGACGGAGGTTAGCCATCAATATAAGGCTGGTTGCTTGTAGCACGGAGCGCAGGGGCGGAGGGGGGGGTGGGCAAAGGCCCTTCTAGAGTGAGCAGAGTGCCTATTCATGACAGATTTTGGGGGCGCAGGGTACGCATGTGATATGCTGGAAACATATAGGATACCAGGGTCCAGCGAACAGCCATATATCGCTGGTACCGAGCGGCACATACCCACGCCGGAAACGGCCTCAGCCCAGCGTTGCGCATCGCGGTGTCATAGTAGTACAGCAGGCCGCCCACCGCCAGGTTGATGTCCTCAAAGACTGACGCCGCGCTGCTCTCGTGGTCGGGCCGTGCAGTCAGGGACCTCCGCGCGAGCGTCAGCTGTGGGGTGCCCGTTGCGATCGCCTGTGCGCAATTGCATCCACGTGTAATGAGCAATAGGGTCAGGCGCACATCAACCCAAAACTAAAATCAACATAGGTTTAGCAGGACGAGGCGCAGCTACCACTACTTGAGTTACACACCCGGGTCAGCGCGGTCTGGTTGCGCCTGCGTGCTGGGAGAGCAGAGGTCAGCTGGCCCATCGCAGAAGCGCGCACGTTGTGGGCGGCAATGGCCTGCAAAGGCTGGCGGTGATTGGAGGTTCTGTAGGGCAGCTTGCACGTGCGGATGTGTGCGTTCTCGTACACTGCCGCGGAGTACTCCTGTGGGAGTCCACCTCTCCTGACAGCGTCCGGCACGTGGGTCAGAAGGTGGACCTTTATCAGGTTCCACCCATCGCCCTCGCGCGGGAACATCTCCTCGATCGTCTGAACCATCCTGCTGACACAAACACACTCAGTTCAGAATGACTGAGCCGTAACGAGGCCGCGCAAACGCAAAAACTCAAGCTTTACCTCTTTGTGGCTTCTTCAAAGTCACCGAGCGACATATCCGAGTAACATGGAGCTCTCACGTGGGACTCGTGCCACTGGAGCACCGTGACCAGCGCCAGCCTGGACACGACATCCGCCTCGCCCTCGATTGCAAACGGCGCAAGCTGTAATATTGCAGGTATCCATGTCAGACCAGCATATCACACGACTGTGTATAACCCCACACGCAAGTAAATGCGTTGTGCATAAAGAGAGCGTGTTGACTCACCATCATCGCCGATGCATGCTCGCTTGCTGTGAAGTTGGCGCCACTGGCCCAGTAGCTGCCAGAGCCTGGAGAGCGAACGCCTGCCAGGCGAGCGTCGGGGTACATATGCTTCATGCGCCTGCCACCATAGCGTCCATACCGTACGTACTCAATCCTTGTGTGAACGAAAATACATACACAACAAGGAAACACCAGGCATGTTCCCCTCAGTACTTACTCATCCTTGCGCCTGGCGCTCATGGGGCTGCCGCGCAAGACACTTCGGATGTACAGCCAGAAGCCGATGTATATCCCGTGCAGAATATCGGGCATCTGGGAGAGGTACGTGTTGCCCCACACGGTGCGGCTGAAGTTGAAGGCCCACAGGAAGCTCTGCCGCGTTTGTGAGGGGATGGGGATGAGCGAACAGCGAACACTACCCACCAGGGTCAGACGGAAGGGACAACAAGATACACAATACCCTCGGTGGTGTACAGTAGGATTGACTTACCGGGGCAGGAATGGTCGAGTGCTTCTTCGCCTCGTTGAGATCGCGCAGCAGAGCTTCCTGATCTTCCACCGTACGGTGCTTGGCCGGTTCGCGGTCCATGTCTCGAAGGTCGTCCCGCGCCACGCAGCAGAGAGAGCATGGCATCACAGAGCCGAGCTGTTGTGTGCAGGAGACCTTGCAGGTCTCGGGATAGTCGGCCACGTACAAGAACAGCAAGGGTAGGAAGAAGCGTTCCTCCCCGTTCGGGTCCTTGGCTGACAGTCCACTGCCCAGGTGGGGGGGTGTCGGCACAACGTAACTGACGGATGCAACGGAGAAGACATGATTCGCACATGGCGCGACCGAGTGGTACTTACGTGTGGCTCGCGACGATGAGGTCCGCGAGTACGATTTTCATGGCGGCCTGGAACAGTTCCACCTTCTGTGCGGGTGTCATGTGCGCCGGCGGAAACGGGAGCATTGCCAGGAGCAGTTTCCACAGTCCATCCACCGCCTCCGCAGCGGGATGTTTGCGATGGAGAGGTACACCGCCCACACTCTCGTGCGCTCGTTACCGCTCAGAATCGTGGCGTCGCTCGAGAGGATGAGTGGAACAACCACAGCGCCCGCACCATACTCCATTTCTGCCGCCACTTGAGCGTGCTCCCAGAACGACGCGGTTTCGGGCGTTGTGTAGACCCGTCCCGCAGCACTGTTCACCTGCCTCGGCCGCAGCACGAACCCATCCGCGTTTTCCGGGTTCCGGAGAATCTCGATTAAAGCCTGCGTGCATCCACACATGTCTAGTTACATCTGGGTTTCGGCAAAATATACCTGAAGACATGTCAGAGGCGAGCATACCTCTCTCCCATTTGCTCGTATCACTTGGAACTCGCCTTCCCATCCGGGAACGGAGAACGAGATGGTGTCGTACTGTCGCTGAGACATGAGCAGCGCCATGCCGAACCGTATAACCGCGCAGAGAGTTCGCCAGTGTCGAATGAGCTCCAGGTCCAGACGCTCGTCTCGCAGCAGGTTGAGAAGCCACACAGTACTCTCATTGGAGAGCCCAGCGCCGTCGTTGCAACCCACAATGAAGCGGAACACCTCCATGAGGGTGTTGAAGTTATCTTGGGGTCGGAAAGTGCCCTCCGGAGGACTTTCATCGTCATCTATTGCCGTGGTAACGTCTCCTTCCTCGTCAGAAGAAGGATGATCCTCCTCGTCTGACTCGACGTCCTCGTCATCAGAGTCCTGAAGGGCAGAGCATGGCCACCATAAAACGTGGGTACAGGTGCAGGAGCCGTACTACCCGCATGCTTGATAACGGCGAAATATGCGCTTACCTCAGTTGTTCCATCAGCCCGCAACGCGACCTCGTCGTCCGAGTTAAGCTCTGGCATTTCATCGTTAGTGAGCTGCGCAGGGTCTGGATCGTCGGCCGCACCGCCCGCAGTGGCGCCATATCCAGGAGTTGACCTTAAAAAACGCGAAGCCCGCGCTATGCAGACTTCCTTCCGACGCTTATGTGAAAACAACGCCGTGCGAGAGCTGTAGCGGTGCCTACACCACTCACAGGCGTACAGGGCCGATTGCCGGGGCATTTGAAACCCCAGGAGAAGGATTGCATGAGGATACCGAGGTTGTCGTTGGTGAGGATGTGCCCTTGGCGAGACAGTACCATGTTCTTCTAACGCGTGATGTACCAGATTTATAATTCGTCCTATGAACTACGTAGGCATGGCTCTGGTACGACAAGTACGAGAAGAGCAGAGTGTAGGGCTCCTTCAGAGGATATCAAAACGAATCCCGATTTGTGACAAGCTCGCGTGGAGCGTGGGGGGGGCCGAACTCCCTAGGATGCCGTCAGGCCTTTGACTACGATTGGCCGGTAACGAGATGAGGCGGATCTCCCCAACGCATGCCAGCTAATAGAAGCATGACAATGACACGGATAGCCTGGCCAAAGACGCTGACTTGGATAGGGGTGAGAGCGAGGGTTGCGAAACAGACCAACCGCGATACGTTACCGTGCTCATGCGTTTTCGAGCATTTCGCCATTTCGTCGAAAATCCAAGCCGCTATTACCCAAATGCAAGAGCTGCAATGTCAATACCAAGTCCAGGCAATCTCTCATTTTGTCAGACTTTCGCAAAATTGCAGTGTCGCTTATTCTGGACATGGCGTCCGAGATTCCCAAAGGTGCTGGTACGGGAGGACGTGGTTGGCGCAGCGCAAGGGATGAAAGTCGCCGATATGAATCAACAAGATACGCCGGGCCCAGGTGGCCAAGGGAGCGCAACTGTCACACCCGCCCGCCTTCTGTGGCTGTCCTTGTTCGAGACTTCCCGGAGGTTGCGGCAGTGCTGATGCAACAAGAATTCACGCGCATCATCGATAATGGTGACGATCCATCGCCGCGTAAGCTGACGAGCAGCGTCAAACATCTGGTGCCGTCCCGTCATACCCGTGCTGCTACTCAGAGGGGTGAAGCCGTAGATGCGCTGCGAGCTACACGAGGCGGCGGACACGGTGTTTCGCTGTCCTTCATCGACAACGCATGCATTCTGGCCGTGTTGCGCGATGCTCGTGACGCCGCAGCCGTCCACTCGCTGGCTGATGCGTTCTTGCGCGTGGTTCGAGGTGGACACCGGAAGGTTAATTACAACGCGACTTGTCTGCACGATCTTGAATCGGCACGGCCGATAGTGCATGATTATCAAACCTACCTCATGCACTTCGCAATGAGCGAAGGGTGGGTGGTGAGTATCTCACCTCGTCATTTTAAGGCATATATGTCGAGCGCCTCTGACACATCCTTATGTGTACTTGTGCAGCTCGAGAATGGCCGCTACAACTTCTATCGCGCAGAGGATGCGAGGCGCGTCTACTGTCAATTTAAGATAAAACAGCCAAAGCTCTACCACTACCGTCAATTTTCACATGTTGGCAGCTCGGACGGCATTGGCGCAGGCATTTTGGCGCACGCACTGGGCATGCTTGCCTGGTGGGAGATTCCAGCAGTAGATAGGTTGTTTTGGGATGGGAACATGGGGAAGAACATGTGCGTGTATCCATGGGACATTCCATCAGGCGTAACAGAGCTGCCATTGTATCGGCTAGTGTGTCAGGACTACGACCTTAATCGCCCTGATGATGATCTGCCAGATTTTTACCTCTGAGCTAGACAGGGAAAGCTCAGAATTGTGTGTTTCATGTGCTAGCTTATTACTTCGGATTCCAGTGTGTGTTTGTCCGCGCCTGTAAAAACGGTTTTATTACTCAGTCGTACGGCAGGCATGGAATGCGAACACTCTACCCTGGGCCGCCGGCAAAGAACGGGACAATCACAGGCACGACATTCTTCACCTATCCTCACTCTTTGGTCTACCGCGCCTTGCCGGTAGGCCATGCCGGATTGGCTGCTTACACGGCGTTCAAGCCGTATGGCATGATCGGACCCCATCTGACGCGTCAAAATGTATGCTGAGCACACGCGTGGGGACGACGCGCATTTCTTTCCCGCGCAATCTCCTATCCAACCGGCAATCATAGCTGGGTGACATCGTTGCGTCTGCACGGGGTTTATTTTGCTTGGCTGTCAAAGATATTCTCACCTGGCGTCCATGATGAATGCCGTAGACAGCGTCCGGCTTCCCCATTGGCGCGATAGGATATTTTGCAGAGATAACGCTGACAGCTAGATGCGGGATGTCAGGCCGCAACATTATCCGAAAGACGCCCCAGCAAAGGATGTATTATTATATTAGGGAACCATTGTATTACACTTTCATAAGTTACGGTACCACTACTACTCGGATCCACCACAGTTCATCGTGGACCCTGCACCGTCTCCGTACTCACCTCTCAGGCGCTCTGGCAGGAGCAATGCCGGCGTGCGGAACTCCACTGACGACATGGTGTACTATGGCCGTGGAACGCAATCCCCCCGCGCTGACGGACGTCCGGGTCGCGCTCCATCTGCCTCTGAAGACACGATGCCTGTCAACGAGTCGCGTGCGGAAACAGAGACCGAGTACCTCCAGTGGGCGGACCGCCAGGACGACCGCCTGGATGTGGATGACGATGACGACGTGGAGGATACCTGGATGCCAGAAGAAGAACCTGTTGATGAGGAGGTGGAAGGTAAACAATTTATTGGCTTCCCTGCTTGTGCGTGTGTGTTACCAATTGTGCCAGGTCGGTATCCTTTGCGCTGACTCGGCTGTGGCCGTTTACCCTCTCGCGCTGCAGCTGATGGGCGCGAGCACCGCCCGCTGTCAGAGGTGATGGCGTCCTCGAGCCAGGCAACTGCAGGCGAGCATCGTCCGCGTGGGCAAGGGCAGACTACCAACCGTCGCACTGCTAGCACCACCAACGCGCCAACGACGGCTGATGTCTCGATCGACGCTGCGATCGCCGCCCGGATCGCGGAGCAGGAACGTCGTATTCACGAGCTGAACCAGACCATTGCCGGGCTCGAGGGGAATCGCGGGCCGGTCAGGAGCCCTTCCCGTCCACGTGTCACGCCTCAGGCCGTTCGCGCACGTGAAGCGCCATTGGACGAGCCCGCACCAGTGCGCCAGCGCACAGCTGCGGCCCGCGCCGCCGGGCGGCAAGCAGAGGTAACTGGCGAGGCAAGGGCGCCGATGGTGGAGGCGGCGCTCGCCAGGGAGATTCGACGTGCCAACACGGGGGGTCGAGCCACTCCTGGTCTGGTCAACTGGGCCGACCGACTTCAGGAGTGCCACGTGTTTTTCCCGAACATGGACGACGGGTGGAAGGTTAGTGCGTGTGCGATTCGGGGTTCCTCTATTCTAAAAAGTGTGCGCCTCTGTGGATGGCAGTTATGTTCTGATATCTATGCTCCTGCTCGTTCTCGCTTGCCCGTGTATCCCAGGATGCGGTCGAGGACCTGATTAAGATTCTGACATACGACACGTCGGTCGCCCGGCTCACGTTTTGGATGCCGCCCGCGCTGCTTGAGCGTCTCTTGGCGCGCGCGCTGCGGATCACTAGCCAGGCTCACCGCACCATGCTCCATATGCTGCTGGCGCACGACGAGAAGCGTGCCGGGTGGATTACGCGCCGAATGCAAGTGTGGCGCAACACTAAATGGGAGCAGGGACGAGCTTACGTGTACATCCTGCATGGAGTACCGTATAACGCTGGCTCCAACCCCCGCATCTCCCTGCCAGCAACCCCAAGCGCAACCGAGGTGCCTCGCATCACGCGCAAGCAGTTCATAGAGCACCACCCTGCTGGTGAGCGATGGTCTAGTTGATTGCATTAGCCGTATTCCAGGCATGCCTTTTTCTAACCGTCGTGATTTGTGTGTGTTTCCTGATTCAGGCAATGCGACGTTCGAGCTGCACCCCTGGCATCGTAACGCGGCTGGCATACCGTTTGCTACGGAAAAGTTCGAACGCTCGATTTTCGCTTCGTTTCGGCGCCCGGTTCCGCCGCCGCTGATCCTGCGCACCTATCACGTCGCCTTTTGGCTGTTCGGGGTTTGTGCTCGCTGAGAGCACTAATCAGATGGTGTTATACCAAGCGTGTGTGCTAAGTTTATGCGTGCTGGTTTGTGCAGGTTGAGTTTCCGCTTGTCAGCGGCGGGACTATGAAGCGCAGCATACCCCAGAACGAGGAGGGTGTGCGCTGGTATCATGAGCGAGTCAAGCGCTGGATGCACAGCGTGATACTAGGCCGCACCACCGAGCACGGCCCGTTTTGGGATTCCGAGCGGCGCGGTTGGAGCTTTCGCCGCGACAGCGTCCTTCGCATTCTCGAGGACGGGATGGAGCACCTGTCGCCCACGCTGCCCGCGGTCGCCCCGACTCCAATCCCGCCTGTAACCCCGCGTGCGGGGATAGCATAGGCTGAAGTGGCAGGTGGGATTTTGGATTTCGCTTTGTCCTGCGACGGGTCGCACGTGTCGCAGTCAGGTGTAGCCGCCGTATCGCTGCAATGTTTGCACTGGCCCATGCGACACGGGCGCCAGAGTATGTGTGTCGTGAGTCTGTGTGACTCGGTCGTCTACTGTGTGTTGTCGCTTTTGTGTTTTGATGGCTGCATGTAATAGAGTAGTCCCTATAAATATAATATTTGTGCTACGTGTGAATCCGGGTTCCATTTAAACATGGGAACAAATCGTCGTACTATAACGCACCCGTGCCACAATTTTAACGGTAGCATGCGGCCCGTGCGGGCGACGCTCCCATTTTCGGAATGGCGCGTCTAAACCCGCGTGTTACCCGGTGACACGTTACTGTTACACCCATGCTGGATCCCCTCTATCTATGCAGTCATGTTGCCGTTTGTAGCACATACACCTACAGTGACATCAATCGCGTCCCTATTATGTTTATTATGTCTTGTTCTATCGAGTGTACGCAACAGTGGTTGTCCTAGACACGGAACGTCCAGAACAGGGGATCGACATTGTCTTGAGATTGCTAGAACAATCTCTAGGGTTTGTCCCAGTGGGTGGTTTGCGCAGTCTCCCGACACTCCTGCCCTCTATCATTGCATTGTTAATAATATTGTTAGTTGTATGTTGTCACGCAGTACTTTTGACAGTCCATGTGCAATGTATTGACACTGTTTTCGCACCAATTTCTTTGTGACGGACTACTAGTAGTACAATCATAATAGTTCACTTCAAGAGACTTGCTTACAGAGCAGGAAGAAGAGGAGACGCGATGCTGGTGGCTCCATGGTGGTACTACAAGAAGAAGTAAAAAGCTCGAACGAAAGAGGTTATTCTGGAATGGGATTGTGGGATTCTCGGACGCCATTTCTAGCTGACCCTGGGTCCAGGCGTGCGTGCTGCTACACCCACTTTCTCCTCATTTTCACTGCGGGAAAATGGTTAGTAGCGGGATGTTGGATAATCTGTTGCGCGATGTCCCTACGTACAGAGATGAAAAACGACATAAGTTCCGGGGGGGGTTGTGTATGGGATCGTTCGCGCCTTGGTGTCGCACTGTGATTGAGTTGATACTGTAGTTTTGAAAGTGAAGTGAAGATATTTCCACGCTGGATGTGGTGTGCTGATGCAGTGTTCGCACGCCAGGACCTCCGCACAGCTGTTTCAAACATTGTTTACTATCGAGATTGTCTACTATGGCGCGGTTCGATAGGTCTTCGTTCAGACAGTGGAATGGAGGAGTCTCACCACACCAAGTGTTTGCATTGCACACCCGGCAGGACCCGGTACTGTAACCCGGTGGATCTGATGCCTAGGAAAGGTTGACTGCGTGCGTGGTTGTGAAGGAGTTGACGATGGGTGTCAGAAAATTGATGGATGATTTTGTAGCAGCCCTTGGTCAACGATGAAACGATGTTGACGGAGGTCGTGCAGTATAGTACAGTTCCACCGGGCAACTGCTATTGTACAGTACATCCACAAAGCCTACACCCCTGGCAGTCTCTCCGCCAAAGCCGATCCCTCCGCCATGGCTCTTCCTTCTCGAGTCGGGCAGAACAATGTCAAAGCCAACAGTGTCAACTCGCCCCGCCTCCCCTCGCACCTCGTTAGGGGCCCTTGTCAAACTATGTTCTTTATATATATAAGGACGCGTCACAACTGCGACATCGATCCTGCGGGAGATCGATGTTCCGAGTATACAGTAATTCGCTGTGTCTTGTATCCCGTTGTCGTCAAAGTTCGTTAAGACCCGACACAAGTCACCGAACGCGATGTCCCTTCCAGATCGATCTGTCACCGCACTCAAATCCTACGTAATGCATTAAAAACTTTTAACAAAGGCCTCTAACCCCGCTAACTATCGAACCTGAAGACAATCGCGACACATCTGGCTCAGAGGAGATCGATTCTCGCAGATTTGGTGTGTGACCGCGATCCTCCTCGATGTCGCAATTGTGACGAGTCCTAAGGGTGGGCTGTCGTGAGTTGCATCTTAGGGGGTACATATGAAACTCTCGACATTCTCCTTGTACCTCCCTCACCTTCCCTATTGTATCACTCTCCCTACATACCTAATCACCTTAGTTTCTAGATGGTATCATCAGTAAGTTACGACTTAGCCTAGGAACGCGTCTCGTAGCGAGCCCCGTGGCAGGCGCTAATACGGGCATATGGGGAGGCGCAGCAAGGTTGCGATTGGAGGCATGGTGGTGATCTACGAGGTAATGAACAGTGTGGTTGGCAAGGGAGCATTGGTGAGGCATCAACCACATGAACTTCCGAAACAATTGACTTGCTTTTGGGCTTTTTCGCTTAAGTCTACCCCGCACCAGTAGAGAGATAGGGTAAACATACTTCCAGATTTCAAAGCATCTGAAACCAGCCTAAAAAATTGCATACCGTACCCTCCTGATTTAGATTGAGACAACAACCACAATGCTTAGATTAGGTACGTTAGGAGCTTGGGGCCTTATGAGCTAAGAGATGAGAAGCTAGAGGAAAAAGGACTAGGGATGAGCAAGAACAAGCAAGCAAGAGGCAAAAGGGTACACCACCCAACATGAAGCTTCTGTAGCTACACTGCAGCACACAACAAGCAGCTTATATATACAAAATACTATCTACCTAATGCAACAAACTCAGCCCAGGGTCCTACACATCCATTTTGCACAAATTCACGTGTACTCTTAGCCGAGCCAACCACTACTTCACTTTCTTTGTCTTCCCGCAGAGTGCATACTCGTTGTAGTCATGCAGAACGCGAAGGAAGGGGGTGGAGGCCACAACCTCCGCCATGGCCGCACGGGTGTCAACCAGAGTCGATGGCCCTGCAACCCCTTTGAACTTGAAGCTATAACGCCTGGGGCGAGCGGACGAGGCACTGATGTTACGCCATGCCGAGTGGGTCTCGTCACCATCTTCAAAGCAGGACGCGCTTCTCATTGTGTAAGGCATAGCACCGCCAGATTTTAGGTTCAAGACGGTGTAGACCTCAGTGAGGTAGACCCCATTTGAGTTCCTGCCAACAGGACATTGCACGAGGAGGTCGAGGTCGCGAGGGGGGAGAGGAGGGGGGAGAGGAGGGGTTGGGGTCGAGATACCAGGGCTAGAGGAAGAAGCTGGGGAGACATATCCTCGCATCTCACGCATACCAAATGTGACAGAGCGTTGTGAATGCACGCATAACAAAAAAAGTCGCGGGTTGATCAGGGACGCAGGACTGGGACGTGATGGGGAGGGGCTCGGGCCACTAAAAAAAAGGAACAGAGAAGCAACAGCAGCAGCAGCAGCAGCAGCGGCGGCGGCGGCGGCGGCGGCGGCGGCAGCTGTGGAATCACACCACGCACCTCACCACCCTGTAGACAGCTTTCTCGCCTGCGCCTTTGTCGCCGATCGGATCCCCGTTGTTCGTAGGGACATGGAACTTGGCCACATACTTGTCTGGCAATGGGAATGGCAGGGATAGTAGCGGCGCGTGGGGAAGAAGGTGGAAGGACGATGGGTTGGCATTCCGGGTCGTGCTAGTAGCACCATTGGATAGAGGCGTGACTCCGGCATCATGCGGCGCGCGGCCCTGACGGTGCAGGTGCACCCGGGAAACAGTGTAGAGGCGACATCATCATGCATCGGATGCCTTATTATTTAATGTCACAACGGAAAAAATCAGGAAAACTGACATGATAGCATATCATCCCATTGCTAAGAGAATGTCTGTTACGAAACTCGGTTCGTCTTTACCAACATGATCGAATCTCACTTTTCGGAGTGCTGCGGAACTTACCCATAGTCTTCCCTTTTACTACCAACAAGGGCTTGGCCTGACCGGCGGTAACACTGCCATCGCGTGCGAGGAGTGGCGGTAAGAGTGAGGCAGACGCGGCAGTGAAGAACGCCGCACCTGAGGGGTAAAGGCAACGCACGAGGGGAGGGTCATGACTCACTGAGTGAGAAGTGATGGGCGAGGCGAGACACTAACTGCCCAGAAAAGGCAAATGTTCATAAAAGGGAACATTTTTACGACAATGTGGGCTTTCCGAGTTACTACACATGTCACACAATAATCAGCTACCAAGGCTTGACACCACATAGAGAACTCCGCGAGATACCAAACAACACTCTTGAGATGGGTTAAATACTCAAACAACTTCCAAGGTTTCGGTATCTTGAAGGGATATATACAAGACACTTAATGAGCATAGGAGATATGAAACTTCATGAGAATGCAATTATGTACGATACAAGAGCCGACTTGACCGTGAACGAAGTCGAGGAGTCAGAAGAGTCGAAGCGACATTAGCAACCGTCAGATCGGGACCGATGCACGCAGAGACATTCGAAGTGAAAATTGCGGGAACATTTTTGAAAAGGGTTCCAGCGCTGCACGGTCTGCATTATCTTCATTGCATCTCAGTCATTTACATCCACTCTGACATGAGGTCAATACTTCCACTTAAACAATTGCGGAGAGTCACTCCACAACAATAGGAGCGGGAAGGCATTGGTTGTGTGGGTGATTGCAACGTTCCTTGGCGTTTTTTCTACTTGGGTATTCACAACAAGAATTGGCAAGGGCTTCATTAAAGAAATTTCAGAACAAATGGTAGCAATGGCAAAACTGGCTATATCATAAGCAAGTCTGCTTAGCACACGAGGAAGTCGACCTCCAGCGCAGCAAAGTCGGAGACCTGCCAGCACTTCAAGTCCGCACCGCTCCAACACTGCATTCTGCCGGCTTGCCAACGTAGCAACTCGGCGGCTTGCCATCGCTGCAGCAAGGCGGCCATCCAGCATTGCATCCACAGGTGACAGCATCGCACATGCGCTTTCATACTTCGCAGGTGCTTGCAGACTGTTGGTTCGACATCCACCGTCACGTGCATAACGCAGGTGCCAAGTCGGCCACGTGACTTTCGCAGCGCCTGATGAGCCATGTTGAACTCGGAATACCACTACAAGTTCGGCTTCGCCAAAACCTCATTCGCGACGGTCGCGCACCCTGCAGAACCTCGACGCCCTGGTAACTTGGTCGACTGGGCAACCACCAAGTCGACGTCGACTTGCGCGGCCGAAGTCGACCAACTGTTGTATGTGCTCGTTGACTTCCCAGGTCGACGTCCACCTACCGACTTCACCAAGTCGGCCACACGGTAGGTTGACGACCCCTTCGTCGACCACCAGGCTGTCCGCCGACTTCGCCAAGTCGACCTCCCAAGTCGGCGTCGACTTGGGCGGTAGGTGCCCGCCGAATGCTGTACGTGGTCGTCGACCACCCACGTCGACGACCACCGTCCGGCTTCACAAGGTCGGCGTCACCAGGTCGGCACCCACAATTCGGCGCCCCTCCCAGGTCGACGAGTCCCTTCATCGACCACACAGTAGCCGGCTTCATCGAAGTCGGCTCCACAAAAGCAGGCTTCTTCTAAGTCGGCTTCGCGAAGTCGGCCAACCATGCGGACTTCATCCTCTATGTTGGCTAACCAAGCTGACTTAGCCGACCACGAAGTCGGCTACCCGAAGGTCGACGAAACCCCTCGTCGCCCACACCAGTCAAAGTCGGCCGCCGGCTTACGTCGTCGGCGGCGTCACAGTAGTTCCCCGCAGGTCGACCAACTTTGTCGACGTGCGCACCCAATCCGGTTGCACCTCCCGCGCACTCGACCACGAAGTCAGCGTCGCCCTAGCGAGGGCAGGGCCAGCTCCAGTCAACAACAGTTGCATGCGATCAACTCTGAGACGATATCTGGCGAAGTACTACTTATGATTCTAACACTACACTTGTCAGACAACAATCAGCTTCCAAGGCTTGTCACTTGTCTCACTTGGTCCAAGGCTTGCTTCCACACTCATGACATGGGTTACATACTAAAGGGATGTCCTAGGTTTCCGTTTCTCAAAGGGATTAACACAATCAATCAATGATGACCACCCAAGAGATATGCTTCGTATGCGAGTATCTTAAATTTAAAGCCCGAGTACAGCATGGTTTTTTTCAAGTTCAAGATTCTTGAACTTGAATTCGTAAAAAACAGGGTTACCCTATTTCTCTGTCTAAAACTATCGCGACCCTGGGACAACGCCGAGCGACACTCTCCTCATTGGCTTTTGAGCAGAGTCGCAAAAAAGAACCGAACGTCGCCCAGGTTGGCCCACTGTTTGGCTCACATATCTTGAACACCTAGTCGTACTCATGAACTGCCTACTCCCTCACCTAAGTAGACAGCCTGTGCGCCTTGCACTAGTTTTAGGAGCCGCGATATTTACAGCAACTCCCAAGGCACACATGCTGTCTCGCCAATAGCTGGGCAGCAGGCGCCTAGAGTCACCCGCTATTTACATACGTTGTCGCGTTACTCACACGGAACGTGACAGTCAAACGAGTGCTTCACCATGCTACCCCACGTTTAGCGCGCGTATTCACCCGCGCTCTCCCTCGCCACCCGCGCCCGCCCTCGCCACCCGCGCCCTCCCTCGTCACTCGCGCCTGCCCTCGTCACTCGCGCTTGCCCGGGATTCCGTGCTTCTGCTCGTCATCCGTTTCCCTTCGTCGCGCGCATTTCCGCCAGTCGCGCACGCGCCTTCGCGTCACGCTCGCTTCCCCTCGATGCGCCCTCTCCTCCCGCGCGTTTCCCCTCGATACCCGCTATCCTCCCACGCGCGTAACGCGCGCTTCCCTTCGGCAGACGCCCTGCTCCCCTCGTCACGCGCTCAATCATTCAGTCGCGATCTTCCGTAGATCAATAGCTGAAGCCGACGTCACGCGCATGCGTCGTTGCCCCAGTTGCTGCTGCCTGGCCCTCGCCTCCTGTCGTCGCCTCCGCCACCCCAATTGGATGGCGTTTGTCGTAAGTGCCAACCCCTACCCACGTCGCCATCGACACCATCGTGTGTAGCATCTCCCTCATACGCCCTTGCTCCGTCCAGCCGCAGGGTTTAGCCTACTGATGTGATGGGGCAGAAAGGGAGGGACAGAGGGGGATGACCAGCTGAGGGGGGGATGGTGTCACATTGAAAGCTTGATTGATGGGCGGTGGACAGGAAGGGAACGGGCCGGGGAGATGGGAAGGTCACAAGGATAAGGACAAGGGGGAGAGGGGGAAGGACAAAGGGGGAGAGACAGAGGGGGGAGGAACAGGGGGGAGGGCAGATGGGGAGAGACAGAGGGGGAAGGACAGAGGTGGATAGACAGAGGGCGAAGGGACGAGAGGGAGAGACAGAATGGGAAGGATGGAGGGGGAGGGAGGGGGAAGGGCAGAGAGTGAGAGCCAGAGGTGAGAGCGGGTTTACCGCCCAATCTATTGTCCTTTGCCTCACCTGCTTCTCCCCTCCCTCCTCCCAGCTTCCCCCCTCCCTCCTCCCAGCTTCCCCCCTCCCTCCTCCCAGCTTCCCCCCTCCCTCCTCCCAGCTTCCCCCCTCCCTCCTCCCAGCTTCCCCCCTCCCTCCTCCCAGCTTCCCCCCTCCCTCCTCCCAGCTTCCCCCCTCCCTCCTCCCAGCTTCCCCCCTCCCTCCTCCCAGCTTCCCCCCTCCCTCCTCCCAGCTTCCCCCCTCCCTCCTCCCTGCTTCCCCCCTCCCTCCTCCCAGCTTCCCCCCTCCCTCCTCCCAGCTTCCCCCCTCCCTCCTCCCAGCTTCCCCCCTCCCTCCTCCCTGCTTCCCCCCTCCCTCCTCCCAGCTTCCCCCCTCCCTCCTCCCTGCTTCCCCCCTCCCTCCTCCCAGCTTCTCCCCTCCCTCCTCCCTGCTTCCCCCCTCCCTCCGCCCTGCTTCCCCCCTCCCTCCTCCCTGCTTACCCCCTGCCTACTCCCTGCTTCACCCCTCCCTCCTCCCTGCTTCCCCCCTCCCTTCCCCCTGCTTCCCCCCTCCCTTCCCCCTGCTTCCCCCCTCCCTCCTCCCTGCTTCTCCCCTCCCTCCTCCCTGCTTCCCCCCTCCCTCCTCCCTGCTTCCCCCCTCCCTCCTCCCTGCTTCCCCCCTGGCTACTCCCTGCTTCACCCCTCCCTCCTCCCTGCTTCCCCCCTCCCTCCCCCCTGCTCCCCCCCTCCCTCCGCCCTGCTTCCCCCCTCCCTCCGCCCTGCTTCCCCCCTCCCTCCTCCCTGCTTCCCCCCTGGCTACTCCCTGCTTCACCCCTCCCTCCTCCCTGCTTCCCCCCTCCCTCCCCCCTGCTCCCCCCCTCCCTCCGCCCTGCTTCCCCCCTCCCTCCGCCCTGCTTCCCCCCTCCCTCCGCCCTGCTTCCCCCCTCCCTCCGCAAGGCTTCCCCCCTCCCTCCGCCCTGCTTCCCCCCTCCCTCCTCCCTGCTCCCCCCCTTCCTATGCCCTGCTTCCCCTCTCCCTGCGCCCTGCTTCCCCCTTCCCTCCGCCCTGCTTCCCCCTTCCCTCCGCCGGGCTTCCCCCCTCTCTCCTCCCTGCTTCCCCCCTGCCTACTCCCTGCTTCACCCCTCCCTCCTCCCTGCTTCCCCCCTCCCTCCCCCCTGCTCCCCCCCTCCCTCCGCCCTGCTTCCCCCCTCCCTCCGCCCTGCTTCCCCCCTCCCTCCGCCCTGCTTCCCCCCTCCCTCCGCCCTGCTTCCCCCCTCCCTCCTCCCTGCTTCCCCCCTGCCTACTCCCTGCTTCACCCCTCCCTCCGCCCTGCTCCCCCCCTCCCTCCGCCCTGCTCCCCCCCTCCCTCCGCCCTGCTCCCCCCCTCCCTCCGCCTTGCTTCCCCTCTCCCTCCGCCCTGCTTCCCCCCTCCCTCATAGAGGTGAGCGTCACGCACCAGGTGACCCTTAGCTTTCCCCATATGCCACCCCTCTACCTCGATCTAACCATCTTCCTTGTCCCTCCCGATGTACCTCTCCAATCCCTCCCCATGTGCCTCTCCTCCCCCTCCCCATGTGCCTCTCCTCCCCCTCCCCATGTGCCTTTCCTCTTCATCCCACGCGCAACAAGGGGGCAGCGCAACAGAGTTGGGAACAAGCTCATTTTCTATTCACCCCCTCTTCCTGCCTCCACCTGACTCCTTGCAGGGCTATTTGGCGTTCATTCACATCCGTAAGGAGGAGGGAGGGCGCAGGTGCAACTAGGGGGCAGCTCAGCAGACTTTGGAATGAGCTCACGTTCCCCATGCCCCGTGCTCTCTCGACTTCCCTTCTTATTCCAGACCTATCTGGATTGCATTCACATTAGCAAGGAGAAGGGTGGGCGCACGCGCATGTTTATGCTTACGGAAGCATGAGGACCATAACTCCACACAGATGGCGACAGCACTGGTTGCTAAAGGGGTTGGCATTAGCATAGATTGTCACATGCTGGTTGAACAGAGGCATTTCATAAGGCTAACTCTATCCTCACTTCCAACTGCCTAAATTGTCTATGAATACTATAATATGTGCATGCGGTCATTCAATGTGTCGCTATGCAGATTGTTACGAACGTAGATGCATCCTAGCATGACTAGGTTTAGGACAGAACGGGAAAGACCACTAAACCCACTCAAGCATGGCATGTCGAAGACCACAGGTGCATCATGGGGAAGTAAACACAACCCATTCACTCATCCTGACCTGCCACCCATAGCTCCACTTCCTCCCCATCGTAACGGCCTTCTATCCACCACTGTCGCTCCACTCCCCCGCATCTCTTATCATTGCGTTTGCCACTTCAACCTCCTGATCCGATGGGGTTTCATCCACATCCCTCTCACAGTGGTAACCTGCAATTACCGGTAGCGCCAATGAGATGGATGGTAAGCCAGATTTTAGGACGGTGTGCCTGTCGCGCTAAATAGTCTCGGGGACAACCAGGGCAGGGCAGGGGTGGAGCATGCTGGACCCGGGGGGGGGGGGGGGGGGGGGGGGGGAAGGGCGGGGCGGTGCATGAGAGGGCAGGGCAGAGCTGCAAGGACAGGGCAGAGCCGCAAGGACACGTGACACAACTGCTGGAGAGCGGGAGAGGTGGGGGGTCAGGGGTAGGGGGCCAGGGGCAAGGTTTAGGGTATCTTAGGATAAAAAAGAAATTTGCAATTGCACGCCAAGCAACACACAACGGCTGTGTGCATGGTGGTGACAGCAGGCCCAAGGCACCACCAACATTGGTTGCTGCTGCCTTGGGACAGAGCAGGGGCGTACATGATGGTGACAGCAGGCCAAAGGCAGCAGCAACATTGGTTGCTGCTGCCTTGGGACAGCACAGGTGCGTGCATGGTGGTGACAGCAGGCCCAAAGCATGCTTCCCAACATTGATTGCGCCCTGCCTTGGGACAACTCTGGTGCGTGCATGGAGGTGACACGTGAGCGTGATAGGACCCCCAAGGCAGCAGCAACCTTTGTTAACGGTTTGCTGCTGCGTTTGCCTTGTGACATGTGAGCATGATAGGACCGCCAAGGCAGCAGCAAACCGTTGTTGATGGTTGCTGCTGCGTTTGCCTCGTGTCATGTGAGCATGATAGGACCCCCAAGGCAGCAGCAACCCGATGTTGATGGTTGCTGCTGCCTTTGCCTCGTGACACGTGAGCGTGATAGGACCCCCAAGGCAGCAGCAACCGTTGTTGATGGTTGCTGCTGCCTTTGCCTCGTGACACGTGAGCGTGATAGGACCCCCAAGGCAGCAGCAACCTTTGTTGATGGTTGCTGCTTCCTTTGCAGGGTGACATGTGAGCGTGATAGGACCCCCAAGGCAGCAGCAACCGTTGTTGATGGTTGCTGCTGCCTTTGCCTCGTGGCATGTGAGCGTGATAGGACCCTCAAGGCAGCAGCAACCTTTGTTGATGGTTGCTGCTGCCTTTGCCTCGTGACATGTGAGCGTGATAGGACCCCAAGGCAGCAGCAACCTTTGTTGATGGTTGCTGCTTCCTTTGCGGGGTGACACGTGAGCGTGATAGGACCCCCAAGGCAGCAGCAACCGTTGTTGATGGTTGCTGCTGCCTTTGCCTCGTGACACGTGAGCGTGATAGGACCCCCAAGGCAGCAGCAACCGTTGTTGATGGTTGCTGCTGCCTTGGCATCGTGACATGTGAGCGTGATAGGACCCCCAAGGCAGCAGCGACCATTGTCGCTGTACTATGGTCGATGTAGGCTAGAGCATACTAGTTTCGCTCCGTACACAGAGTCCTCACATAGTAACCAGTACCAAAGCAATACATTCTACCCAGTTCACATTTGCTAGGTACGGTAAGGATGGTAGGTACGAGGTACCCCAAATATTGTGTAGGTGCATCGGAGGGACTACACATACACCCTGGACGGGAATACGAAGAACCTACTGCATGTTTCGCTACGCCAACACCCTCGAAAACATTTTTGGGATGCAGGGAATTGGGCACTCACCTGGGCTCTCCTCTCTCGTGACCCGCAGGGGCGTGTGCCGCCCCTTGCTCCCCGTCAGTGCGCAGTATCCGCTTTAGTTGTGCGCGCGGTGGCCCAAGCCCTGTCACCTGGAGCGCTCGCTGCTCGTCGCCTGGAATGCGGGCTCCGCGTCGCGGGGAACGCGGGCTCCGCGTCGACTGGAAGGCGGGCTCCGATCCGCCTGAAATGCGGGATCCGCGTCGCGAGAAATGCGGGCTCAGCGTCGCGAGGAATGCGGGCTCCGCGTCGCACAGAACGCGAGCAGCTAAATGCGACGAGCGGGTGCTGCTCGGCGCTTGGTGCAAGAGCCCTATCACGTCCGCTTTCTTCCCCCTGGCTAGTAACAACGACTCCAATACACTACCGGTTTCTTGTTGTTCCTAGCTTCCCGTAGTCTCCAGTATGTCGTCACTTTTTTTTCTCGTAAGTGCGATCGCGCTTGCACGTTCCTACACTTTGCTGTTGCCAGCTCTTGCGATGGTCGGTAAGCTAGTAATCTGGGCACAGCATCGTCCCGAACACGATTCTGTTGTGGCGTTGAGTAGGTGGCGTTGATACCCAGCACGTGCGCTGCTCTGTTTTTCTACTTCCCGTTAGCATCGAGCTGATTCAGTGGTGAGGTGAGGAGACTTCGAGTGAGCCACACTTTCCATGCTCCAAGAGAGGGATGTGTGCGACACATTTGTCGCTTTGGGTTGGTGGGATTCGCAGGTTTGGTGAGTGCGAAATGTTCACTAGTTTGCGGGGGATAGTTATTCTCGCCAAAGGCAGCCAACCGAAATTGGTTTCGCGGATCTCGCATACAGCCTATTTCAAATCCACATAACTTGATATTTTACCATGCTGACCCCGGGCTTTAAGTAAGCTTTACATAAGGTGCTCGGTCGTCACTTTTCATCAGCCATTCAAGGGCTGCTTAGCGACAATCATCATCGCACAATGAGAAGCCACACACACGTCTCCAAAACAAGGCTCATAGGGAGGATGCGAACAACAATCCTCCGCAGTTCCCGCTGAAGAATGGATACACGCTGAATCGGAAGTGGAAGATAGTGTCGAGCTCATCTGTAGATCCGCCGACTCAACTGTTGACAAGGGTTGGCCCCGCCATTGCTAGGGCGAATCATACTTTATGGTCGACGGCGCGGGAGGAGCAGCCGAGTGCCTGCAATGTCCGACAACCCTAGGCGAGCAGGTCGACGAAGTCGGGACCTGCACAGAACCACTCCGACGCCGACGACGACGGGTAGTCGGTGGCCGACTTTGATTGGAGTGGTCGACGAAGGGGTTCGTCGACCTGCAGGAACACCGACTTGGTGTAGCGGTGTCCACCTAGGCGGTCGACGAGCGTGTAGATCAGTTTGCAGGCTCGTACCGCCCAAGTCGTTTTCAACTCCTGCGAAGGAACGTGGACGTCGCTGTCAGAATGTTATTATCTAGCCTGTAGTGGGGTGCTCTATAGCGGGTACAACCCAGTTAGGGTTTGCTATATGTATCCCAACTGCTGCTAGTGAACCGCTCCTTTTTGCCTGAACTTTCACTTGCCTAGCTAGGGCTTACCTAGCTATGGCTCCTACTTGTGCCTACTATTCTCACATGCTATCAGAGCGGTTACGCTCCTGGCCTGTGGGCCCACCTACTTCCGCTGCCCTACTGTGTGTCGCGCGCCCCGTGGCGCGCGACCTTCGATTTTTCTTCCCGCCACGCGCTCGGGGCGCGTGGCGGTTTTCTGCCCGCCGTGCGCCCCGAGGCGCGCGGCGGTTTCCTGATTCGTCGCGGCGCCTTGGGGGCCCGCACGCAGGCCCCTCCCGTCGCCTCGTCGCGGCGCTTTGGGGGCCCGCGAGCCGGCCCCTCCCGTCGCTTCGTCGCGGCGCCTTGGGGGCCCGCACGCAGGCCCCTCCTGTCGCCTCGTCGCGGCGCTTTGGGGGCCCGCGAGCCGGCCCCTCCCGTCGTTTCGTCGCGGCGCCTTGGGGGCCCGCACGCAGGCCCCTCCCGTCGCCTCGTCGCGGCGCTTTGGGGGCCCGCGCGCCGGCCCCAACCGTCGCCTCGCCGCGGCGCCTTGGGGGCCTGCGCGCGGCCCCTCCCGTTGCCCGTCGAGCCGTCCACGTGGGCCCGTGCGCGGCCCCTCCCGTAGCCCGTCGGGGCGCCCTGGGGGCCGCGCTCCTCTTTCCCCCCCTCCCTCCTCCCTTTCACCTGCAGCAGCCGCCCCTGGAGCAGCCCGCACCTGCAGCAGCCGCCCCTGGAGCAGCCCGCACCTGCAGCAGCCGCCCCTGGATCAGCGCGAGCCGCCCCTGCGGCAGCCCGCGGCCTGTCCTTACAGCCCGTCCCGTCCCCCCCCGACCCTCCCCCCCCCCCCCCCCCCCCCCCCCCCCCCCCCCCCCCCCGTGCTTTTCGCGGTGGTTGGGGTGTTGGTGCCGGGTGTGGGGGTGGCGGTTGTGTGTTCCTCCCCTTGCTCCTCCTCCTCCCTCGTCTCCCACTGCTGCAGCTGTCGCTGAGGGGGGTGGGTGTGTGGGAGCCTAGGGTTTAGGGTTTAAGGGGGGTGCTGTGGGAGTGGAGCTAGGGTTTGAGTAGGGGGTGTGTGTCGAGGGTGTGGGGCAGTTGGAGGAGGTTGTGTGACGGTAGCTGTCGTGTCGCATGCAGCGCCTGTAGTCCGTCGCCCTTGCTTCGGTAGCCA